CCCCTAAACCCTTTATAAACCCTAAAACCCTAAACCCCAAAATCGAGTTGCCTTTGGCAGACAAGCAGTTCGCCAAGTTGTTGATACTGCCCAGGGTGCTAGGATGGTCATCCCCAAGCCTCGGTTTGGCTAGGCTTCAGGGCTCACGCTGACGGGTTTTCGTTTAGGAGCTCACGGTTACCGATAGGCTCCATTGTAGTTCCTAAAAGGAACTACACTGGAGCCTAAAGGTAGGGGCTTAGACTTGCGGACTTAGGCTAGGATGCCCAGTAACCTAGGAATAAAAAGGGATCCCTTTTTGGTATTTGGTAACTTTATAGGGAACCTAGGACTACAAATGGATAACAAGGGTACTACTCGGCATCCTAGTTTGAAGACCAAACGAGGTCAAAGGTAAGAGCCCCTGCACCGTTACACTCTGAAAGGCTTCATGTCGCCCTTGCAGTCGGAAACGAAGTGACGATCCCAGTTTCCGGGATCCCTTTCACAGTATTCGGGTTTGTAGTGTTCATGGACCCTTTTAAAATTTTAGAGGCTCCAACGTAAAATCTTAGGAAACTGATACCGAAAGAAGTAGAAACTAAACCTTCAAACCTACACCTCAAACCTTAAGCCATATATAACCCCTGCACAGTAGAAACTACACCCTGAGCCCGACGAGGATTCACCCACCTAAACCCCCCAAAGTAGGTAAAATAATGGCCCAATACCCATAAAAGGCTATTATTCCATATACTTTTGGGGTTGACCCAGAAGCTTGGTGCGAGTTTTCTGGAGGCAGTCCCGGTACAGAGCCTCCGCCTCAGCGAACTGGAGCTTCCTTACTTGAAGGCACATGGGAAGTGGCGAGTAGGGTGATTATTACGGTTTAGGGGTTTAGGGTTTAGGGGTTTAGGGTTTAGGGTTGTAAGTAGGGTCATAATTAGGGTTCTAAGTAGGGTTACTGTAGGGGTTTAGGGTGTGGGGCCTAGGGTTGAACAACGTGCTGCTATACAGTGACATCCCAGACCCGCGGGAGGATCCAAAAAGTAGATCCCTTAATGGGGGTTCCTATAAAGTACCCTTAAAGTAGTTTAGGGTCCCAAGTTAGGGGATCTACTTTCTAGATCCTCCAGGGGGACTGGGAAGTGGTAAGCAGGGTTATTAGGGCTCTGAGTAGGGTTATTATTCGGGTTCTAAGTAGGGTTACTATAAGGCGTCTAAGTGAGTTATTGTTACGCTTCTGAGTAGGGTTATTTTTAGGGTTCTAAGTGGTGGCATTATTCGGGTTCTAAGTGGGGTTATTGTTACGGCTCTAGGTGTGGAGGTATTATTGGCATTCTAAGTTGACAACCTAAGTTCCATGGGTCGTCACGTACTTTGCTAGTACTCCAACGAGCAAGTGCGAAACCCGCTTGCTTGTTGGCTGGTTTTTCAAAGCCCCTGCATGTACTCAATAATTGCAAGGTTGGGCATTGGAGAACCAAGTTGCTGGTAATGCAGGCTGGCCAGAGCCTTGGTTGTCCAGTAAATCTTTACCTTTATAGGCTTGCTACTCCAATAAGCCACAGAAATAAAAGCTTACACTTTCCGATTCCTACTAAAATACAAGAATCTAAAAAGCTTAAAGGTTGGGTATTGGGGATCTAAGTAGGGGTTACTTGTAATGCCCCAAAAGAGGTAAAGGTGATCTACTCTACTACGAAGGAGCCTCCATGCACATCAAGGTGATGGGATGCATGTCGCCGAGCTTGTTCTGGCAGCCAGCGAGGCATTCACGGTACAAGGGCTCTGCCTCATCCATCCGTTGCCGAAGCATCAGCAGCCCTGCAAGTCCATGCAAGCTGTTTAAAGTGTTCGGATGCAAGTCACCCAGCTTCGATCGTGTAAGTTTCAAGCACTCCCGGTGAAGACTTTCCGCCTCATCCCACTGGCCCTTCTTCTTCAGAAGTAAAGCCAAATTGTTCATGTTCGTGAGGGTGGACACGTGGGAATTGCCCAGTTTGGTCCTGCGGTGCTTCAGGCATTCTCTGAAAAGAGGCTCGGCCTCATCAAGCTTGCCCTGATCTTGGAGTGTCCCTGCCAAGTTGTTCATCGTTGCCAGTGCTTCCTGACTAGTGATGCCATTCTTGGCCTGACATCTTGCCAGACAATCTCTGTACCTTGCACGCGGTCTAAGCAACACGTAAAACGACTCGAAGAAGAACAGAAACCGTCGTTTACCATCAGTCTGTCCAGGACTTGGCTGAGGCAGCACGAAGGGAAAACTGAAAAATCGGACAGAGAAAAGGAGGCTGTGCAAGAAGGACAAGTAGGTAGACTAAGATGCAGCTGCTCTGTTTCCTGATATCGCCCACGACCACGCAGCCTTCTTGCAAGCTCGCGCATGCAATCTCCAATGTCCTCCGGGCGGAAATGCCCTGCACTCTGCCTAGAGTCCTATAGTTACACAATCACCACTGTCAGGCATGACGACCCCACCCTAGTATACCCAAACATAAGGTCTCTTGCACATGTACATGCATGGCGGCTAGTCTAGGAGAGAGTCTAAACCGTCGTGCTCCATGGGTGCTGCTTCTAAATTGAAACCCTCATCCTGGGACCCTATATCCTAAGATTGTGACGCAACGCAGATCCTCCTGTTTGGAACGAGGATCTCCTTGTAACTTTCCAAGGCGGAGCTGCAGCAAGTCCAGTATGCCGTCAGTTTTGGCCACCGCATTCCTGACACCCACGTCATCGGTGAAACGCACCACCCAGACGTCGCGATTTCTGTGGACCTCCCGGCCCTTGGAGTCTGTTCCAAGCGGAACACCTCTCGCCTGTAGATCCGGGGTTTGCCGCTCAAAGATACTGAAGGCCATGTCTCTGGGGACTATCATGGGTATGCAGCAGGCAGCACGATTGCCGCATGTGTTCTCGTCGCCCCAGTCACGAAGCACCTTTCGCGATTCTTCGTCTCCTGTTTTCTTCCGCCATGGATCGCCGTTGCTATAGTTGTTCAAGAGAATCCGCTTGCGGGAACCCCACACTGAAGGCTCATACTGCGTGGTGTAGACCCCTTGACCGAAATGTGCTCGTCCTTCCATCAAGGAAGCTAAAAGCTCGGCCGCCGTCTGCTCAAGATTTCCCACGTTTTGGAAGCAGAGCTCGTTGCTGTAGTGGTACAGTACAATAACTTCAGAAGTGTCCTCGACCTGTAGATTCAGTGCATGCTGCCAAACGTGGACCGGGCCATCTCGCGAAGCGTAACAGAAGGTCTTCAGCTCATCAATGCTCTTCTGCGTGTACTTCCTGCCTCAAGGAAGGCACGGCCAGACAAAAAGTGGTAAACTTACTGATGTTAACACCCGCCAAGAACAACAATAGCCTAAGCCTTCATGAACTTGTTGAAGCCTAAACCCTGCCAAAAAGAGCCCCCGAGCCCCAAACTAGACGAGTACACCAAAAGGATATGCGTAGCAGCTGATAAAGAGGCCTCAGTAATTAGAGTACGGCTGTCGATTCCTACCGGTTAACATTGAGGATTGCTGTAACTGTTTGGTTCGGGGGCCTTGACAAGAAACATCGGGTTTTGACAGGGATCCTCTTTACGAGGCCCGTTAAGGGTTCTGTATTAGACTTGTCACTGTAATGCTATTATAATACGCTTTTGGGGTCTGTAGCAGTTTTATCCTCTGACCTATAGTCTCCATCGTAGTTCCTTTTTAAGTTACCTTATAGGACCCTAAACAATAAAACCAAAAAGGAACTACAATGGAGACTATAGGTGATACGGAACCCGAAGGAATGGTATTGGTAGTTATTCTACCATGTTTCGATGTCGCATGTTGAATACTCTGGTATGCGCGCCCTGCCTTCTAGACTGTAGCTGATCCTATGAATGTAACACTTTTTATTGATAACCTGCATCGTGCTTGGAACCCTAAACTTAAGAAACTAGGCTATCAAAAAAGGTACTGCATTTTAGGATCTAGGGCCCAGCAAACTCTTGATGGTGCCCTTCAAAAAGTCCTTAAAGCCCCTCACAGGAACTCTAGACGCCCAAGAAGTATTACATTATCGGGTCTAAGTCTAGGCAGGTGCTCAGGACCATGTGGGCCTCTCCAGAGTTCGCCACGCAAGTAGGCGCCGGCAAAATACGCCGAGAGCTCGCCAGGATGTCCGCCGGGTTTCTGATGATATGCACTGGCGCCACTCCCCATGCTACGGCTACGTGATATGGGAGCTTCTGAAGATTAGGGGTACCTTATTTTGGGGACCATATAAGAAGGATCTTATTATCGTCCTCTGTGTTGGCCATCTACAGCCTTTGAATGCTGTTCGCGAATGAAATATAACACAATTTCTTATGCCCTGTAGTGCAACATGTCCCAGAGGCTTTACCTAGTCTTAGACAGAAGGCTAGGGCTTTAGCGTCCTTGGACCATGTGTGGAACCTGTCGTCAAAGCGATCTCAAAGGTCCGGGCCTGTGTCCTAACGGTCGTTGCTTATAGTCTCGATTGTATAGTTCCTTTTTGTGGTTTAACCAGTTTTATATTAAGGATCCTAACAGGTAACCCCAAAAAGGAACTACAATGGAGACCATAGGTAGGATTTATAAAGGGTTTAGGGTCTAGGCTCATAACCGAAACTCCAACTTCCCATAGACCCCTTGCATACCTAGACCCCAGAATGTATCCCTAAGGGTCCAAGTGCTCCCTATTTTAGGACTTTGGGGCTTTTTTTGGTTTTTGCTACTTGGACCCCGGAATGTATGTTATACGGCTCATTTGGATAAGCTACTTCATGGCTAGTTAGGATTTAGGCGCCTATGAAAAGAAACAGCCTATTATTACCAGAAACAAGTACCTGTAGTCTACATTGTATGGATTTTGTGGGGCTTAACCAACGCTATATTTAAGGATCTTAACCGGAAAATTGGTTAACCCGAAACAGGAAGTACAATGGAGACTATAGGTGCTATAACATATGCCAGGGTCTGCTAATCAGAGAGGCCTGAACAAGCTGAGGGCAGCACGGACACGCTTTGATTACCTCATTCGCAGGTTCAACCCCGAAAACCCTGCATCAGACGGTTGATGACATAAACCCTGCATTACCCCTGAAAAGAAATATACCATAGTTTCCTAGTCTAGGGTCATCAAGGTAATGCAGGACGTATATCATCAGCCGTACTTCCCGAGCCCTGGAGAACTAACACTGAATCCCACTTCCCTGAATCCGAAGCCGAAAGCGTGGACATCCTCGACCCTAAATCCTGCCCGCAATCTACCAGAACCTACGTTTCGTAGAGCTCCTATGATCATGCAGCTCAACATTTTGTTTCGTTCAGAGTGGGAGCCGGTTTAGGGGTATAGGAGATTGGGGCTGTTTTAGGGGTGTTAGGGGCTCTTTAGGGGTCCAGAGGTTTTGGGGTTTCAGGGGTGTCGTGTTTAGACTGGATGCGGAGGATGCTGCTGATGATGACGACGACGATGAAGGTGGGAATTATGATCATGATGATGATTGCGATCGAGCAATTCGGGGTCTGAGGTATTTGGAGTTCTGGAATTGGGTCTCGAGCCTTGAACATTTTCAGGGTTCGGGTTTGGGCTGAGTTTTGGTCGTGGGCTGAGGATCCGAAACAGTCGCTTCCCTACATCCTGACGAATAATTAGACCCTAAACCCCAAAAACTAAACCCTAAACCCTAAACCCCACCGAATGTTGTGCTCAAGATTCTGCAGCCAAGTTTTTTGAAAATGGGAAAACCGTTCTGGTGCACTGCTCAGGACTTCCCCCTCATGAGGGCGCACACAACAATGCTGATGGCAATAGCTGTCTCTGGCGTGCTGTTTCTACTTGCTTGTCCTGATCTGCTGCAACGAACACTGCTCTCCCACAATGTCAACCCTTCCCAGTTCTTATTCCTAGCAGGTGTGCATGGCTGAACCTACCGTGAATTCTCAGCAGGCCACCGCGCGGTAGTCGTCCAGCGTCCGCGGCGTCGTCTGGCGAATGATCATTATACCCCAAGGGTTCAGGTACTTAGTAACCATATACCCTCCAAAGTCCGAGCCTACATAACTACAGCCTTAGAAATGTTCATACAAGAGGGCTTCTTGGGAGTTTTGAGCGCACCATCATCGTTGGCACGGTCTTCATCCTTGGCACTGCCATCTCAGCTTGCAGCGGAACCGAAGTGCACCGAAACTACGTTACATTGTCTTAGGTTTACATCCTCCTAAGGGTCCATGTGCCCATGTAGCATATACTTTGAGCCCAATGTACCTATATAGGGAGTACTTTAAGGCCAATGTTTGTACTATATATAGTACATGGACCCCTGGGGTCCTATAATACATGGTATATCGTATATTTCACATTTATTATCGTAGGGTTTGTATACTGGACCTAGGAGTAACCTAGGAATAAAAAGGGGTGCCCATTTTGGTTTAAGGGGAGTTATAAGGTAACCTAAACCTGAAAACAGGGAATAAGGGCCTACTCTGGGTCCTAGTATCCCAGCCTGATGTGTCAGATGCCGGAAGAAGAGGTCGAGGGCATGGCTCCACTTGGCCATCAAGCTCCTCTGTCGTCAGAACCCAGACCTTCCAAAACCCCTTAATTAAGGAATATACCTTAAGTTATAATAGGATCCCTAATAAGATTTAACGTATATTCCTTAATTAAGGGATTTTGGAAGGTCTGGGAAGTTTGCTCGCGGCGTTTCTCTCTGGAGTTTGGGAGTTTAGGGGAATTCGGAATAACAGGAGGTAGCTTCGTTTGCTTGCATTGCTGTTTGGAGTTTAAGGGTTTTGGAGGTTTAGGGCTTTCGGGCCAAGGGTTGAGCTTGCTGCGTGTGAGTGCGCGGGTTCTTGTTGAGGTCTCTCTGGCGCGTAGCCCATGAGATTTTCAAAAGGGCTGGGTCAACCGTATAGTTGCTCTACCCAGAGGCCTCAAAGTAGTTCCTGTTTGGGGCCTTTGAGGTTCAAAAACAGAATCTTGTAGGGTAATCCCATAAAAAGGAACTACTTTGGGGCCTATGGGTAGTTGCTCGGGACTGTAGGACTATGGGGATGTAGAGCTACAACTGGCAGGGTTTGGGGCTTTGCAGCACGTCGGAAGTCGGGCCATCCTTGAAACCAACATTTAAAGCCTTAAAATAAAAGAAACCCAGCATAAACTCGTGTCCTTTCATCAAAAGGCCGCTAGAAGGGGTGTCAGGGGTGTCATGCCAGTTTCAGGAAACGTAGGATGTTGCTTGCGACTTCTGAACATACAGAGAAGCTCATGGGTGGGTTTGCTCCTAATTAGGTCGAAAGGTAAACCCCGAAGAACCCGGCGCGCACACACACACACACATACACATTGACGCGCACGACACAATGAGAGACCAGTAGTCCCAAAGTACTACTGTGCCAGTGTGTCTAAACCCGAACCCTAAAACTCCGGCTTCCCTGTCATGATTTCCTTATATAAGTCTTTGAAAATACAGGTTATTTGGGGTCCAGGTAGCTACAAGCCATACCATGCCTACACCCTAAAACGCGAACTCCGTTTCCCCCTCCCCTGTCTTCTGTGCCGGCGCGACATCCCAGAAGGGGCGGAATGCTTCGGCGCCTCTCCGCGCCTGCTTTAGGGCTTTCTGGCTTTAGGGTTTACCGCAGAAGCCATAAAGTTGGAGCATGGGTTAAGCATGATTAGTGCTGGATTTCCCCTTCATTCAAACTCAGGGTATGAGGATAATGATTTTCCAACTTTATGATCCGGTGTACGGTTTTGGGCTTTAAAGTTCAGGATCTGGGGGTCAAGTTAAGTTTAAGCTTTAGGGTTTCTGGCCCGTGAAGGCACAGTTCCCGAGCCGTACAACCATCGAGGAAAAGGTGCGAGGGAAAGCAGTGGCTTCTGGCCTACGCAATACTAGGAGGGTCGGAGGGCTTGGCAAGTAGGTAATAAGTAGACTCATAAGTGCCCCCGAAACTCCAAGGAGGCTGAAGGAATCAGTGGGGCTGACATTGCAACTCGCCGATTAGATGAGGCACGCAGAGACAACCGTGTAGATGATTCTGGATCAGCACCACAAAGTCAGCAACATCCTGATTCTAAATTCAGAATCAAACCTTCAAATATGTAGCCCTGAACCTGAGCAAAGTTCAATCCGGGGAGCTTAGTTGCTCAACTAATGCTGCTCGATGGACCCAAAGACTTTAAACCAGGCTTTAATCGAACATGTACTTGTGAGTTGACGCCTACTGCCTTTAAGTCTAGTCCACTGACCCTCCCCGAAGGCCAGAAACCCAGAGTCACAGCACCTCAGTCGCCAAGTTCTCAACTGTCTGATGGACAGCCGCTCTGACACCCTGCTGACGCCTTGAACTTGGGCTTCTAAGCTATAGTGGAGTTTCCGAAAATAGGGACCGTAGTATAGTACCCTAAATAGTAGGATCCTTACTATAAGGCCCCGCAAAAAAGGTACCCCCAATTTTCAGAAACTCCCATATAGGTACATGGAGCCCCAAGGTTGGGGCTCAGGGAAGGGAATAGCGCTGGGGGCCAAGGTTGGTCTTCAAACAGAGCCCAACACGAGTCCTTTCAGAGGATCCCCTTCAAGAAGGCACCTTACCAGATCTGTCTACGACTCACTTGGGTACAATTTCCTTGTAGAACCCTAGGCTTGTCTCTCCTTCGGATCTGCATGAAGAGGGGGTTCAGGCCTCTACTTCGAGCATGGGGAGATACAGAAATCATGACCTACTCTTGAGTATTCCCTAAGCCCTCAACCTTTAACCCTAAACCCTGAACCCCAAACCCCAAACCCTCAACCCTAAACCCTAAACCGTAACTTCCCCTACACCCTAAACCTTAAACCCAAACCCATTCCCTAAGCCCTCAACCTTCAACCCTAAACCCTGAACCCTCATCCGATGAAACCGAGCTGACTGTAGAAGATTCTGCTGGTGTTTCGGAGCTGGAGAGATGCGGGCTCCAGGAGGGGTTGCTGGCTTCGGGCTTCAATTTTCAAGGGTATATATAGACCTCCAAGGGTTTATATAGGGCTTCAAAGGTTTATACAATTAGGGCTTCAAGGATTTAGATAGAGCTTCAAAGATGATTTTGGTGAAATAGCTTCTGCGGGAGGGGGATTTTTCAGGTGGAGTTGTTTGAAGATTCGCAACGAGACAGGGGGAGAGCAGCAGGACGCTCAGACATTCTCCCAACCACTATATGCTACATAGTTCCTATGCGACCCAGCCACCTTCGGACGCTTAGGGTAGCACAAGGAATGACATAAGGGACCTCTAATGATCTAATGTGTGGACATCCCCGATCTGGACAAAACCCTGATTAGGGTGCCGCTTATCGATGCTTAGAGTTAGCATACTCCTCTCGCAACCAAGGTTTGCTGACAAGTTGAAGTCGTGTAGTTCTCGAATGCCTGATGACAATCCTGGGGCAGGCAATTTAGCGCAATAGCAACAGTGATTGTAATTGTAATCACAACACTACCAGCGCCGGAAGGGACTCAGTATGCATGCACATGCAGTTCAGTAGCTTGATGTTCTGCGGAAAGGGCTAAGCTGCACCTGCAGAGCTCGGAACCGCCGCTGCCCAGCCTTGAACCTGGAACCTACATCCGAACAAGCTTAACCCTACACCACGAAACACGAACCCGGTCCCGAAATGTCTGGGTCTGCAACGCCTCGAGCAGCAGCGAGAGCGCATCCGTCCAACCTCGCAGATCTGAACCTTTAGCTCGAAACAGAAGCTCTCCCTAAGGGTCCATGTACCCATATAGCATATACTTCGGGCCCAATGTACCTATCTAGGGAGTACTTTAAGGCCAATGTATGTACTATATGAGTACATGGACCCTTAGGGTCTGAAAACAAAACTCTCAACCCAAAACCCGAAACTCCCAACCCACAAGATAAACCATAAACCCCCCAAATCATAAACAACAAACCTGCAACCAGAAATCCTGAAGATCAATGAACGGAAGAACAGATTGATGGGTGGATGGATAGAAGGATAGAAATATCAAAATGCTGCAACGTGCCTACGAGTATATTGGTTCGTACAATACAGACTATAGCCTTGACTTGCCGACATCACCGAACTAAGTATTGCTGACAGTTCCGCTACTCCCCCGAAATCAAAGCCGTCAAAACCCAAATGCTACTACGAATACTCAGTATTTCCTGGAGCCCAATACTACTACATGTCCGAAACGGTTTCGAAGAAGAACAACTTGCTAGATGCAGCAACACTTCAGTTCTGCCTAAGGACCAAAAGCCCGCACGCCCTACATACGTGTGCAGTGTTTAGAACCCCGTTCCTCCTTCATGTTCGAAACTGTCGAAACAACAGCAAATCTACAAACTACTGCCTCAAATACTGCCCTTACAGCCTAACTGACCAAATCAAGCAGGATCCATCATCACATCATAATGATGCTACATATTCCCTAGGACCTAAGAGCCATGACTCGTACTCAAGAGAGAACCATCAAATCAAAACAGCCGTAGGAAGTATTCCCCACAATTCCGCTACTTTATTGATACGAAACTTGTCAAATCAACATTCGAATGCTGAGTCGCTACTTCCGAAAAACGACGTCCCTCCCACCAGAGCAGGGGGGTGACATCGAGGCCTCATGGGACAGCGGCAGACTTTTAAGTCTCAACCCTTGACCCCAAAACCCTGAACCATGAAACAAGAACGCTTGAAACCTTCAGATCGGCAGCTTCAGCTCACCTTCCTGCAACTCCCCAGAAGTGCTACTTCTTTCAGCATCACTCCAGGCCCTGCCGTCACAAGCGATGTGATGACAAAGTCGTCTTCTTTTTGCAACCCAGGCGTGCGCTTCGCTCTCATTGGAACGCTCCTTTGACCTAGTGCGACCAGCAAGGTCAAGATAAGGTGGGTTGCTGGAGTTCAACGCGAGCTATATTTGGGGATGCTACTGGTAGACTTACCAAATCAAAAGAGCCTCCACTTCGGCACTTAACAGTGCTGCTTGTAGCCGAGGCTACGTCCGAATTCGAGAGTCAGCCGGCTTCAGCCTTAGGTGAATCTTCCGGGTTCAGGGTACTTAGAGGATCATTGGACTTAGTAAGTAGGTTATAATTGGGGTTATAAGCCCTCTAAGTGGGGTTATCCTAATTATAACCTACTTATAACCCTACTTACTAAGTCTCATGAGCCTTCAAGTAGGATCTATCGCCTCAGAGTCAGAGCCAATGAGGTCATGTACCCCAGTATAAACTTTGGGTTATATGGGAGTTTCCGAAAATTAGGGGTACCTTATTGTCGGGTCCTTATGATCCTACTATTTAGGATACCATATTAGGGTCCCCTATTTTCGGAAACTCCCATATGGTCTGAAGTTAAGTGTTGACTACAGTTGTAGCATTATCTAAATAGGCTACTCGCAGAGTCGTCAGAGTAGTCAAGCAGCAAGTGCGAAGACCGGAAGCATCACTTCTTGCAGCACAGCCCATGAACCGATAGTATGTAAAGCCCCACCCACACCCGAAACCGTAAGCCTCTGCAGCAATCCTAGCGGAACCCTGTTGTACAATCCCCAAAACCCTATCCCTGTATCGAAATCTTCATCGAAGCTTTACAGATCCCCGGGCACCCTAAACCCTAAGCTCTAAACCTCTGAGCTTTAAGCCCCTAACCCAAAGCCCCTGAACCTTAAGTCCCGGAACCCCAACCCTGTGAGCTCGGCGGGTAGCATGCGAAGGCCTGCAAGCTCGGCGAGGAGCTCCTTGAAAAATGGGCAAGCTGTCACTTGTTTTGGTTAGGGCGTTTACGGGTTTACCTCCAGCCCCCAACTACCCTCCAGTATACCCCAAATACCCAGGGCTCTATTAAAGGGCCGTTGGGGGGTCCTGGCAGGGTTGGGGCTTCGGGAGCTTAGGGCTTAGGGCCTCGGGCTTAGAGTTTAGAGCCTCGGGATTAGCATGTAGGGCTTAGGGTTTAAGGTTTCAGCTTCGAGAGTTTATGGGGATAAGGGCTTACAATTTCAGGCCTTGGGTCCGGTCCAGGGACTGTGGTTAGAAGGATGTAAGCTGTGGTGGAGTTTATAGCATGGTGGGTTAGGGTTCAGGATTTGAGGTGGGATGCTGGTCAGACTTTACATGCGCTTGGGGTTTGGAGTTGGAGATTGCGGATTTGAGGTTCAGGAGCTTGGGGAAAATGGTTGATGGTCTTGGACTTCAAGCTGGAGGTTGGGATTCTGGCTTAGGCTTAGGATTCAGGGTTTACCTTAACCCTGGATAACCTACCTTTATACAAGGAAATCATAATAAAGAACCCTAAAAAAGGTAGGTTATTCGGGGTTTTGGTAGGATTTGGATGTGGTGTTTAGGGTCTCGGGGACTAGGATGTGGACATGGGCTTTGGGGACGTGAGTTCTTCACTTCGCGCGCTGAAGAACCCAATGCTGGGTTGCTACAGACCCTGGAATCGCAAGTAGAGCACCCTACGATGGGGTGATACCGGCCACCTAGCTTCGGGAACAACATTGCGACGGTTGCCGCCATTTCCGTGTCGCGGTTGAACAAGACTCCGAGTTGCGGGAAGATCGCTGCCCTGCGGCCAACTTCCATGAGGACATTCGTCATATCGCGGACCCGATCCGTGTTCTTCTGAGTGGCAGCCATGAGTACCACCATCACAGCTGCAGTCTTCTGGCTGCGGGTCTTCGCCACCTCCGCCGCATTGGGAGCCAGGAAACTGGGCGAAGTAGGCAGCTCGGTATTTCAGGGCATTCTTGAGGCCAGCGTCCCTGAAAGTTTTCAGCAGAACGTCAAGGTTGCCACCGTCATCTCTGTAAGCGTGTAATAGTGTGCGATTTGTGGCATGACTTCGGCGTCTGCAAGCACTGACGAGTGTAGGGAGAATACAAAATAGCCCAGAGGCCTACCTAGAAGTTCCGACTGGGTCAGTCCACGATCTTGTCTGCAAGTCCCACACGCTTTAGGGGGGCAGGTTTTGGGTAGACATGGTTACGCAGTCTTGTTTTGGGCTTGTGGTTTCGCATGGGGGACTTTGGGTTAAGGAATATGCTGTAAACAGTGTTCTTACAGCTGGGGCTAGCTACTGTATCATGAGCAGAAGACCTGGTCGCATGCAGGCAATGCTCAGACACCGGCATCTGGTCGCTCCTTCAGCTGAATGCTGCTTACAACCCTGCTGACTGGCCCTACAAACCTGCTCTTCAACAGAAACGCAGTCTAAGTTGCTACGATTTTAAGGAGCATGTGTCATTCGTTTAAAAACCCCACTTATGGCAACGCGAAACACGAGAATCCCTAAACCCTAATCCAAATCCTAAATCCGAGACCTTCTACACACTAAACCCAGGTATCCTAAACCCCACAACCCGAAATCGCAAAACTCGAAATCCTCCAATCCCAAGATCCCCTCAAAGGAACCTTTACGTAGACCCTTAAAGGAACCCTTATACTATACTTGGAGGTTCAGGGGTAGTTACAAGTGGTGTTACAAGTCCCCTAGTTAAGGTTATAAGTATAACTACCCTAATTATAACCCTGCTTATAACTACCCAAACCCCAAAACCCGAAATCGCAAAACTCCAAATCCCCAATCCCAAGATCCTTTAGTAGACCCTTAAAGGAACCCGTATACTGTATGGGGCATACTTGGAGGGTCGGGGGACTTAGTAAGTAGGTAGGACGTAGATTTATAAATACCCTAAAAGGGACCCTAATTGGGGTTATGGTACTTATAAGTCCTTAAAATAGCCAGTTACTAAGTCCCCCGACTCTCCAAGTAGGGACTCTCAGAGATGAAAGAGAGGCTCCTGCGCAGGCTTCCACTGCCGCCCTCGCTCACAGGAACCTTGGAGCCCGGATTCGGAAGTACTTAAAGGGCTCCTTAAAGGGATCCATAGGCATCCTTAAAGGGATCTATGGGGTTTAGGGTTTAGGGTCTACTAAGTCCCATGAGCCTTCAAGTACGAGTGGGGATTTTGGGGCTTAGGGCCTCTTAGGAGGGGGATCCATGAAAGGGGTTCCTTTATAGGGATTTATGAGGGTTCTATGGAGGGGTTTAGGTTTAGGGGTGTTTTAGGGTTTAGGGTTTATAGGGTTTAGAGGGTTTAGAAGGTTTAGAGGGTTTACAGGGTTCAGGGGCTTAGGGTTTGGGGTTCAGGGTTTAGTGTTTAGGATGTTAAGGCTTCAAGGCTCTGGGCTGTTGGTTTTAGGGTTTGGGGGCCGAGGCTTCATGGGTTGAGGTTCCGGGGTTTGTAGGGCGTATCGGTTAGAAGGATCATATTAATATTGTATTAGGGCCCTATTATATTCCTATTATACCACTATTACAGGGTGGGACTTAAGATATGAGTTTGGGGTTGATCACTGATCCTCGACAGGCTCTTGGTCAGCCTTAGCCTTCAAGGCAACAAAAAACTGCAACCGCTTCGATTTCAGTCGGGCCCAGCGTCGCAGTTCGACTGCGAAGTGTAAAGCAAAGAACCATGTTGGGAGTTCCTTCTTATGGCTACTTTACCCCCCAGACCACGTTCTAATGAGTAAGTTGCACCGAAACCATGAACCTAGAAAAAGACTCGTCAAGCAGCTAATTGCGGCATTGCACGTGACAATGTTCACCCGAAGTGCCCAATGCTTCAGCTCGGATAAGAGCTGTAGTGACAATTCCCATTGCTGACCTGCGCAGACACAGGTCCCGACATTATATTG